AACATGCAAGCTCCACGCACAGAGCCAGGGATGGGAATCAAACCTACACAAACACAGGGAGAACATGCAAGCTCCACGCACAGAGCCAGGGATGGGAATCAAACCTACACAAACACAGGGAGAACATGCAAGCTCCACGCACAGAGCAAGGGATGGGAATCAAACCTACACAAACACAGGGAGAACATGCAAACTCCAGACACAGAGCAAGGGATGGGAATTAAACCTATAAACACATGGAAAGTATGCAAACGCCACAAACAGGCCAGATATGGGATGTGAACCTTCAATGTGGGAGGTGTGCCACCCATTGTTATTAAAGGTGGATTGTTGTCATTGGGAAAAACAACAACAACAAGAATACCAAACCTGTTCTAACTGAGCACATGCACACTGTGCACACAGAACCAGCTAGAATTGAGACCCATAACCAGGGATTGACATAACTGGTACGCAAGTACACATTCACCTTTAAAAGCGATATGTGCGGCAATCGATTGTTGTAACAGTGCAAATACATACGTATTTTAAGTGCATTTGCGCCGATATGACAAGAAATTACTGTGCATTTTAACCTCTATACTGCAAATGAAGTACAAATTAGCATAGAAAGGTTAAAATGCACAATAATTTCTTGTCATATCGGCGCAAATGCACATAAAATACTTATGCATTCACGCTGCTACAACAATCAATTGCCGCACGTATGGCTTTTAAAGGTAAATGCGTACTTGTGTACCAGTTATGTCAATACTTGCCCACAACCCTGGAGCTGTCAGTGCAACAGCACCCCCTACTGGACCAGTCAAGGTATTACACATAAAATGTAAAACATGTCTGAATAGTAAGCACAGGTACAATTAGCCACAACTGTGGAATTCTGACATTTCCATTATATATGGGACAGATATAGAATCCTTTTCTTTCAAAGATCATACCTAAATTGTCATCCAGTTGTTGGTGAATAGCTCTTAATTGCTGGTTCCTGGGGTAACCATTCTGGCTGGATATGGATTCCTCAGAGGAAATCCCAGAAGCTCCAAACCCTTTGGAAGAAAATCAAACCAAAGTTCATATCAGGCATAAAAAATCTCACCATCATTAAAGCACAATAATAGGACTGTCAGACCAGAAAGAGACCCCACCTGACGTGGTCATGTTGAGGTGACTCTGTCGGTATTCGTCTTGGTGCCCTTGGCTCTGACTGAGCGCATCCAGGAGTCTGGAAAAGATAATTAAATCACATTAGGGCACCCATTTGTCCTCTCACAGAAAAACAGCAATTCATCTTGTTACTATCTGCAGTTATTTAAACATCATTTTTAATTTTACGTATATTTTTAATTCGTAGAAAGTCTTTTTAAATGTATTCTGGTGAAACAGCAACCCAGGAATGACATCGAGGGGCAGCATGTTTAGCCTGGATGTCACAGGGCCGTACTTGCTGCTGGGCTCATATGCAATGGGCTGCTCAGGGGCTGCACTGGGCTCTGGCTTTGCTTTGAAGTAGTTGACGAAGCCTCCCCAGACGCTCTTGATGGTGTTTATGTGTCGCTGACTAGTCTTCAGGTCCTCGTCCATGTTGTCCACCATTCTCTCTGTCCTCTTCAAAATCTCACCTTGGCGCTTGAGTTCCTGGGGAATGCAGAGCACAAGTGTTTAGCCGAAAGAGACATTTAGCTCTTAACGGGCTTTCAGAGGCATTTTAGCAAGCACTGGTAGTACGTAAGGTGGTTTGATGTTACTGCATCATCAGATACTATTACAGTGCCCTCCAGAATTACTGCCACCCTTGGGTGGAGTAAAGAGGAGTAAGAAATGTTATTGAAAAACACTGCCTCATTTATTAAGGTCAACACATTGTTGTCTCATTTCATTTCTGTATTTTCTACTCTTTTCCATGCAGATGAATGATTATGGGAATTTGGCATTAATGTCACGTCACATATATACTGTACCCCCCATTGAAACAGGAAACAATGGATGCTCGCTTAAGAGTTCCTAAACACACAGCAGAACATAAAGTATAAATGGGAACATTATTACATGCTGTTAAAAAAATAAATTTCATACTAATATTTTTTCTTCAATTAAAGGTTGGATTTCTCTCACTTTTTCTCAATTAAGTTAATTGACTGCAAACACATTTTTTCATAATGTTTTTTACACAACTTTACCAAGGGTGCCAATAATTCTGGAGGCCACTGTATATAGAATAATAAAATCTTAATATATGGTAGAGCACTGTTCAACCCTGATCCTCAGTAACTGCATTCCGAGAGGTGTTTGAGATTTTAAAAAGCATCTGATAGACACCTGAACTCACAGATAAGGTTATTTACCATCTAATTACCACTATTGCTTCTTTAAAGCAATTATGAACAGATGCAGAGTAGAAACAAGTATTCCCAGCTCTTGATGGAAAGAACAGTTGTTGTCTTGCACCTCACAATAATACAGTAACCGAATGATAATTCTTTAAGCTAGAATCAAGACCAGATGCTCACTATCGTCTATGCTTCTACTACACGACCCAAATATAAAGAAAATGTTTAATCAGCAGTGTTTTAACTGTATTTTAGAAGAAAACCTCAGGTGAAACTGAACTGTAGACAAGTTTCAGATCCCATGGTTTGGTTTCAGGTCCTTGTTTTTAAAGATCTTAAACGATTTTTCATTAATTCCCCATCAACTAAAACAAAGAGAACCCGCCCCCTTCTGAGATTACTAAAGGAAAAAAAACACTTAAAATGAAACAAATCATCATAATAAACGTACAATTATGTAATGCCCAAACAACCTCATAGGACTTTTTAGTGTTTCGGTGTCAGACATCTTATTTTGTCATCCAGACGTGATCGCGCCCCATACCTCCGCAGTGTCTATCCCCATCTTTTCCGAGTCGTAAATCAGCCCTATGGATCGCTGGCTGCTGTCGACGGCCGACTGCGCTGTCCTCATAACCTCCTGCTGCAGGTACTTCTGGCGCCTCTCGGCTTCGCTCATGTGGCTGTCCGTGGAGTCTTCATAGCCCCTGCCGCGCCCGAAATTCTGGACCTCATTATCCTCCTCATCATCGTCGGCGAAAGGATTGTGGTTCTTGGGATAGGCTGACATCATAAACTACACTAACCATTTAGAGAAGTAAGTAGGAAACATAAGTTAACAGTTAGGACAACAATGATCAACAGGTTAACGAACAGCAAGCATATAAAAAGAAGCTAGCAGCTAAATGTGATGGGATTTCTGAATGTCTTAGTTGGCTTGCTGACGGGGAAGTGCTGTGAGACAGACGAAAAAAACACCAGTACGCAGATCAAACAATAACATATCGTCAAAATACTAGCAGCAGAAGATATCGCAAAGCAAAACTCACGAGTTCTTGTAATTTAAAACGAATGATACATACCGTTTAACCGCTGTCCTTAGTGAAGGTTTCGCGAATTCTCTTCATGCAGAATGACGTCCAGTCTCGTTCTAATGACGCGCGTCACGTGAGTAGCCAGTATCCGTATAAGCGGCCTGTAGTTTTTTCCCCCCATCGTACTTAAGATCGGTGCGATAAATATCCCATTGAACGGTTTCTCAGCGGCTGAAGTTAAATACAAACGCAAACCAAAATTTTCAATTTCACGAAAAATACTGCCCAACAACTTTTTGATCCAGTAGCTTAATATTTGTTCTTTGTGGCTATAAATGTCTTTTTTATGTCTATTTATTCAAGATGGCAATCAACATTTCAATTCATACGAATTAATTTAGCATTTCTAAGTAGTTTCATAAATGTACACTAAACTGCTGGTATGTTTTTAAATTAATTGGTCAGATTTCAACAATAACTTTCTGCTTCTTATTACAACCTAAAATAACAGCTAATTAGTCAAATCCGATCATGTGAAAAACAGAAATACTATTCTGATAGCTCTGTTTATTAGTCTTTTGGATATAAATGTGAAAATAACTATTGAAATACTGACCCCGAATATAGGAAAGGTACTTGCTAGACGACCAGCAGCTAGAATGGGTCTTTGAACTTCGTAACGCGACAGTCCTTTTCGCACTTCTTGGACTGTCAGGCTTTCCGTAATGCGGCTTCCTCGTCCTCTTAGCTTTTTTACGTCGGTTTTCCTGTTTTTGATGGAGAGGCGAAAATGTCGGTGAAAGGGGGAGGACCGAGAGGATTTTACTTTAATACAGTATTATCCCTTGCTCGGTCTTTGGCAGCACACCGACCTTCTCCGGTTGAAAAGGTTTGCGTTTTGTCTAGCCGTCCAATGTTGGGATAAATTGGCATACGCAGTACGAGAATGTGGCACCAGTTGTTTCCCTTACAACTGCTGTCTGCTTTGCTAGCGAGTCAGATAGCAAATATCCTTTGTATTTCGGAATAAGTATAAAACTATTTCAAATGTTACCATAATTTGATTGAGATTTGATTATTCGCATTGTCTGTCTGTTGTGTTACTTTGGTATGTTGTGCTATGACTGACGGTAATATTATAGAGGTTCTTCATTTCATAGCTGTGTTTCCCTGAACCTACTTTTAGTTAACGTAAAATTAATGAATTGCTAACGACTATGATATTAATTGATTGTAATCTGAATATTGCATGTTTCTAGTGTTTCTGCCAAATAATGGTTTATAATTATTTTATTTTGGTACTTAATGTTAAGTTAGGCTTTAAGAATCCTCATGGTGTCATATTTTCATTGCACAAAAACTTAAGCATACTACACGGACTTGTATATTTATATGCAACAGGCATTCATTTAGAGTGTTGACATCTTGAATTTAAGTCTGTTATCCATAAATCAATTCAATTAAACCCAGTACGACGACAACAATCATCAATAATACGTCAACGATACAGTATTCAAGTTGACAGCTTGATAATGTAGCCTGGCGTAATACCCGTCAATTAGACCAGGTTATATAAGTGTTTCGGCTTCATTTTTGCTAAGATGCATTGTTGCCTGCCCCCAGGTCCAGAAGCTGCAATGCATGTGCCCCGTGGATTCGCGGGGCGTCTTCCAGCTGGACGAGCGGCGCCGAGATGCCGTGATTGCGTTGGGAATATTTCTGCTAGAATCGGATTTAGAGGTGATGGCTTTCACACAAACTGATAGCTCAAGATTGCATTCACTAAACGTGATCTACAGGAAAACCCTTTAAGACAAAAATTAGCTTTTTGTTGAAGTAAATTAATGTTACCCCTCTTTTAAAATAATTAATGGAAGACTTGACATGGCACAAATAATGTCGTATTATGCCATTGCTTATATATTAATTAACCACAAACTAAGTCTTAGTTGCATACTAATCTCATGTTAATTCATCATTAATGAATTGTGAGACATGATTTATCCTAATCAGTTGCTATTTTATGTATATTTATATGCATTTATATCTGTTAATTTTTTAAACCTTTGTAAACTACTAAGGATCTGCCAAAGGAGCAAGTAATGAATAACACTAGTGAAATACTGATCTCGTGCTTGCTCATCATTATGTAATCGCAATGAATGTTTTATCTCAAGTAGCAACTATATTTGTTCATGATTTGTGCTTCACTAGTAACTGAGTTGTTACTAAGTATTTGTGCCCTGTCAAGTAAAGTGTTACCAATTTATGTATATTTATATTTGCAGCACAAAGACATGATTGTTCCATACCTGCTTGGTCTCCTGAAAGGCTTACCTCGTGTGCAGTGGATTGAGGAGAGCACAGGAAGAAAAGGAAGGGGTGCATTTATTTTTTCCCCATTTCAAATAGTTTAAAACAAATTCTAGGTATCTGATGATCATTTTATAGTGGTAGGATACTACACAGGTCTCAAAGGTATTTAACACCATGTGTTGCTTTTATTTTTTGTTTCAGAAATACTCCCCATAGCAGAGAACTTTAGCTTCTGTCTCGTGACTATGCTGTCAGATGTGGCCCAGAGAGACTCCTTTTCTCGTGGACAGGTCTGTGCTGCAGCTGGTGATCACAGTCAGGAAAAGACATGCTATAATACATCATCATCATCTGTCATTGTGTAAAAAGCATCACACTTACAATATGCCGCTGAGCTAGATCTGTTCCCTGCTAGATTTTGGAAGCTGTCATCACCCTCATGCAGACGCTGATGGAAATGTGTCAGGCACCGGAGAACCATGACAAAGGTAATTTACTTCCTTTTCACTTTGTGTAACATGTTTCTTTCCAGAAAGCATGCTAAAGATAAACCTTTAATTGCCTGGAATTACACCTGATAGTCATGTGACCTTTGTCTCCATCCATCCAAGCATCTTCTGATCGAGAGGGTCTTGTTGTTTGATTAATTTTCTGATGCCTTATCTCACAGAGTACCTGTGCAGGTACACTGTCCCCTGTCTGCTGGGGGTGGCTAGAGCTTTCGGCCGCTACAGCAACACAGATGAGTCCCTGCTGTCCAAGCTTTTCCCGCGGGGGGCCCAGAAGCCCCCCCGCGTGGCAGACGAGATGGAGGGCGTTCGCCGGCGCTCCTTCAACGACTTCCGCTCCATTCTCCCCAGCTCGCTGCTCACAGTATGTCAGGGTGACTCACTGAAGCGCAAGACGGGCAGCGTCTCCAGCCTCTCCCAGGTAACCAGGCCACAGTACAGCTGGCAGCCAGTCCTTGGTGCATTTGTGCTGAAAGGCCCAATGGAGCAATCACACTGGTCACCATGGGACTTGGTCACTGGCATGGAAGGCTAACCTGCAGAGCCACACTCCATCCTAGTTCCTGCTTTAGAGTCTCTCATGGTGTGAGGGCTGTCAGAGTTAGCAGTGGAGCAGTCAAGGCGATCAGGGGTTTGCTCACCTTAAACTCAGTACTGAATGTGAGTTTAAGTAGAAAAATAGGGGAAGAAATGAAAAAGGAGTGATTGGGTGGAAAGGAAACCTGCACTTCCAGAGGCCAACTGGGAACGTCAGTGTTAGTCTTCTGGCTGCTCTGTTAATCCCTGTAGATTTGATATCAGGCTTCAGATTTGTCACTGTGGCTTATTTAGTGTGTCGATTGTTTTTGTTCGATATACTTGGAATATACCGAATGGCCTCCTCTCGTTTGTAAATTTCTTATGTTCTTGTCACCTGTGTCTTTTTATCTAATTTTTGTTTGAAATGTTCATTAAGAATGAGAGGATTTCTGTTTTATTCCTCATCTGCAGCTCAGTCCTGAACGGAGAGGGCCGTCGCCCATTTCCCCGTCTGTCCCGCCCGCACAGTACTTTGAAGGTAAAGTCATGTGTGCAGCACAGGCGCGCGTCTCGTACTTTGTTCTCTTTTATTATTTAAAACCAGCTATGCACAGATGTATTGATTTCCTGGCACAGATGTTCAGGTGAATAAAACTACATGGCAGTCATTGACCTTGGAAAGCCTCTGTAATTTGGAAAAACATACTGTTTGAAAAAGATTTTAATATTTTATTATAGTGTGTATATGGCAGCTTTCAGACAGAGACCAGAATAAAGCTTCTTGGTCTTTATTTGATATGTTGTACTTTGAATGCATATGGGGAATACACTGTACGGCAGATAAGGGCTAATGTCTGCTTTGGATAGATATTATTTCAGGGATTCTGACTGAAATGTTCCTTTGAAATGGCAAACAATCATTTTCAGTAGAGATTATGGGCGCAGGACAGATAGAGGTACGATATTGCCTTTAGGAAACAGGACGTCTCCTTTAGGAGTAATCATACGTAAGAGTTACCACACCACCTTATTTTATCTGGGATTATGTACTTTTCAAAATTCATTTTGTGCAGTGAGTTGACAGCCATCCAGGAAATATTTTAAGTTTAGATTTAGGGTGCTGCTTTGATACATTTCCTTTCATAAATTTCAAAGATGCCCTCAGGTGTGCTCACTGGTTAGACTCTTAGCCCAGCAAGATTAACACAGTAATGTTTCATTTCTGCATTTGGGAACCAATGAATATGTTGTTTCTGTTCTGTTTTGTGTTATAAAATTATAATAGACGGGATCACAGTGTAGGTGTGTGTTTGATTTAATGGGGTCTTTCAGATAATCTGGGGTTTATGGCTGTCATTTTCTCTGTAACTCCCTGTATGTTTCTTGATATGATATTCAGCTGTGTAATACCTGCCCCCCACCCTCCTGCCCTGTCCCCTAGGAGCATATCTCCCAGACGGCAGTGCCTTAGACCCCGAATATTACTTCTCCACAATCAGCTCCAGCTTCTCTGTGTCGCCTCTCTTCATGGGAAGCAGCAACAAGGAGTTTGACGTGCCGCTGCCCGTGCTGAAGCTGCTGCTGCACATGGTGCGAGGCTCTCTGTCTGTCAGCACCACACTGGGGAGGGTAATGGCTGCCTCTGGCATTAGACAGGGGAACTCAGCTATCATTTTAAGGTGGTGAAGTAACTTAATAGATTTTTTAAACATTATTTAATGCTTAAATTGAACACAGTTATTTAAATAATGATGCAGATTTTGAGTGAAAAGCAGCAAGTGTTCACCTCTTGTTTGAGATTACTGTTATTGGGCAAACGTTTATAGCAGACGTAGGTGACCCTGATTCTGGAGGCTGGAATCCAGCAGGTTTTTCATCCTGCCTGGTTCCTGATGAACCACACTTGATCTCAGGCAGATGGTAACACTCGTACACTGTCAGGGGAAAAAAGCACCAATTTGTACCTTTGAGGGTATAATGACTTGTCACTGGCGCTGTACCCTAAAGGGTCTGCCATCTGCACCCTAGCTGTAAGTATTTTTAAGGTACAGAAATGGAACATTTTTTACATTTGGGGGTACATTATTGTTTGTTCCTTGTGTACCCTTTTTCCTGACAGTACAGAAGAGAAAACCCACTGAATACCAGTACTCCAGAATCAGGGGTGCCTACCCCTGGTTTACAGAATTAGATCTCTGCAATCGAAGAACATGCAATACAAATAAACCAGGATTCATTCT